CGAGGTTGACTAGCTCAATCTCAAGTCAATCAAGCATGGCCGAACAGTAAACTAATATAATAAGCTGATTTCTGAGAATTTATAGGTTGCTGATTTCTTTTCAAGGGGTGAAAGGTTACGTGCTAATTTAGTACTAGCGAGTAATTTTAATTTCTTGTAATTTGTAAGAATGATTATAATATTTGGTTTGCATCTCGTCCTTTTGTTTTAAGATATGATGGAGTTAGATAACAGTAACAGCGCAGCCATTAATGGAGGACATAAATGGAGGGAAATGATGAGGATGATGCTTCTATGAAGTCTCGAAATGAATATATATAGTGGTTAAGCAAAAAAGATTAGACGCTGATAATGAGGGCCCCTATTGGAAACAAACCTAGAATCGCGGATAATATATCTGGCCCACTTTGAAAATCCTGTCTCCCTGGTCCCTAAGCTCATCATTCATTACCCCAGTCATAAATACACAGTATTGCTTCATGACATATCAAAGGGAAAACCCCCAGGCAAATTACAGAGAACCACATGTGTATGTAGCAACATTGATAGTAGTTATTATTACTGTGATTTTTTTTAAATGTCTCCAAAAGAAGTGAAGTTGCAGTTATGGGCAACTCTCCATCTTTCTCGCTCTGAGTTTCTATCCAATTTATACGTTCTGTGTTACCCATACTTTTGTTTTGTGTTGTTTTCAAAATATTAAAATAAAAATTAAACGGGCTCTTACATTAAAAATTGAAATTAAACAGTACATTAATGTGCAAGGCTTTTATCAGTGCGGGCGCGCGCATGAACAGGTTTGTGATTTCATTTCGGGTAATGTGAATGGGAACTGATACAAAAAACCTAAAAACCAGAGACCCATCGTCAACATTGAAAGTTCCAACCTCAAAATGCTACACATATCAGTTCACATTCTAAGGCAGCCACCCAGTTTGCCTTGATTTCCTTGATCCATCGTACTTGAATTTACACATCACGCCATTTTATACGTTGCATTGATATTTGAAGTCGAATGTGTATTTGATATATAGCTACGCATCAAACATTCAAAGGCATGCCTGCTAGTTAAGCATCACAAACCAACGTCTCATTATCGCCAAGTTGTTTTGCAGCTCACAGTTACAAAAATGGAGCATAATCATTTAGAAATTAACTAACTTAGTTTGGGATACAAGAACACATACGAAATTAAAGAGAAGAAAGTAAAATACCGTTGTTGTTAGAGGTTGCTATGCTGTACTAAAGGCCAAAAGTTCCTATGACTCTCGTGCTGATACATGGCCCCCAAAGCACTGTGACATTTGTCTGCGAGCCAAGGACACACACACTGCACAGTACAAATCACAATGTTTTAGAGATTCATGTATTTGAGTGTATCTGTCTCCAAATAAACTTTAATTAATTCAGGCAAACAACGTCTCCCACTAATAATCTTCACGGTTACGTATTCCTCTCTCTCTATATGTCTATTTAACCTTAATTAAGAGACTTAGAATCCGAAAATGCGTGATGAGCGAGAGAGACAAAGTCATGTGTGTGGGTGTACTGATCGAATCTTGAGAAAGAATAATTATAAAAACACCAGACAAACTCAAGTGTTTCGCTTAGGATTCTCCTTGAGATAAAAGATTACACATGCATTATTGTAGCTTCTATACGGCTCTTGCTGTGAATTCTATTGTTTTTATGTGAAATGTGGCAGCTAATTTCAGATAAATCCGGGATGAAATGGGGCGATTGATAAGGAAGTGAGGCACGTGGGACTGTCAGGTGCTTGCCATGTCTTGGAAATAACATGAAACCCAGAATTCTTCTGCTGATTATCCAATTAATAAAGATTCTTAAGACGCAGCACACGCATGCATGCATTTCTTGGATCAAAATATTCGGCAGCTTCTAATGATCTTCACATGCCCCGGCAGGATTTCCTCTCATTTGCCTGCCATTCATTGTTTGGTGACATCCTTTTCGTTATTAATTTTTTATCATCCTAGTTCTACCCATTTAGTCCAGCAAAATGATTATCTCTCTCTCTCTATCTATCTATCTTAAATCCCAATATTTAATTGAAATTATAAAAATTATATATATTGACATCAAATCAATTACCTAGTGTAGCACAACTATTTATTAAAAATTAAATGAATTATGTTTTATAGTGATCAAAATAGATTTTGTTCCCAACTAAAAAGAAGAGCTGAATGTCTAATGGATCCTTCAATTTATTTCTTTTTGGTCACCTCAAATTAGTGAAGAAGTAAGATCGGTTGGATCATAATTGCTTAACCGTGTATTGATAACTCGATTTCTTGCCTGAATTGGAGGGAAAATGAACCAAGAAAGGAATACAGAGAGATTCACAGACCGTTGCTTTCTCCCTCGCGCCTCTTGCGAGACTCTGCCTTTTTATATTATAATCCAAATATTGGCCACCACACCACCATACTGATTGATTACTGCGTCACTCACTGTGCTTCACGCCCCATCCTTCAATCACCGGCAAAGTTGCGTTCCACCCACTCTTTTTCACCTTTAGCCTTTATTCTTCTTCTCCTGTCCCCCCTGCCCTCCCGCATAGGCATCAATCTCTCCTTTTTCCTTTCTTTTTCCCTCTCTTCACGCTGTCTTCATCATTCTCGTCTTTCCTTCGACCTGCCCATGATCCTTTCTTCCTCATCCTTCATGGCCTACTAAGCGAGTTCGCCGGTCAAGGTTCTTGTTGCGTAACTTATGGCAAACTTTGTTGGTTTCTTGGGCAGGTTCGTCTCTCTTTTCATCGTCTTTGTCCACCTCGGCTGCTTTCATCTTCTCCACCCGGCGGCCGGCAGTGGCGGTGAAGGGGGAGGACAAGGTGCCCGAAAGTCTTCGTCAAAGAAACGCAAGGTATCCCCTGTTTCGCACTCGCGGCAACCTTCGCCTTCCCATCCCAATTTCAAAACCCGCAAGGCCCTTTCTTCTTCTTGGGCTTTCGTCAAGCACCTTTTCTCCCACAAACCTGCAAAACCAGTGACGTTGCTCAGGGATCGCCGCAATCCTCCGCCTCCACCGCTATTTCCGCTGCTTCCGCCGTCTCCGCCGCACTGCCTTCTTTAACATCGACCAGATCCTCCCAGCAGTCGTTGGTCTCTCTGGCTCAAGCCGAGTCGCATCGCTGGATCCTCCCGGGAAAAAACCATGTGCGTCGTGCCCAGAATCCGATATCGCCGCCGACAACAATCACTTCTTCCCCCTCCGCAATGACATTTTCCCCTGCACCGCCTGCGGCGAGGTTTTCCAGAAAGCACAAGTTCTCGAACAGCATCAATCGCTCAACACACGCCGTAGCGGAGCTGGTGGAGACCGACGCTGGTCACAACATAGTACAAATAATATTCAAGTCGGGTTGGACCAACCCACAGAAATGTCCCAGGATCAATCGGATCCTAAAGATCCATAACAGCCAGAAGATACTATCCAAGTTCGAAGAATACAGAGAGACGGTGAAGGCCAAGGCCGCCCGAAACGGGGCCGTAAAGAAGCGCGACGAGAGATGCATAGCCGACGGCAACGAGCTCATGAGATTCCATTGTTCCACATTCCTTTGCGACTTGGGACTCAACGGGAATTCCGGCATTTGTGGCCAGCAATACTGTAGTATCTGCGGGATCATCAAATCGGGGTTCTCCCCCAAGTTGGACGGAATCTCCACGCTGTCGACGAGCTGGAGGGCGCACGTGGCCATCCCGGAGGAGGTGGAGGAAGAGTTCAAGTTCATGAACATAAAGCGGGCCATGCTGGTATGCCGAGTCATAGCGGGCCGAATCGGCACTGACTCGGACGAGGCCGACAAGGAGGACGGGGGTTTTGATTCGGTGATGGCGCGAGGAGGAACCGGAGTTTACACCCGGCTGGACGAAGAGGAGCTTTTGGTGTTCAATCCCAGAGCCGTGCTTCCATGCTTTGTGATTGTGTACAGCGTGTGATCGACGGTGGCAGTGGCTTGTGATTTTGATCGTGTGGTGGTACTGATCAACACTCGGAAATTTCTTTATTTAATTTTGTTAAGAAAATAAGGATTGTGCAGGAATACTAATCTAATTTTTTGGTTGTTTGTTTGTTGTTTTTGTGTAGTTGGTGATCACGAGGGCCAAAGGCGAGGGCTGCTTCTTGTGTAGTTGATTGGTATTGTTAGGGTTAAAATGTTGTAATGTAAGAAGGCAGAGAGCTTTGTGAAAAAATTTCAGGCTTCATCTTCAACTTCAACAGTTCTGGTGCAAGAATCCAATGTCATGTGATGATAATTAATCATATTGGACATTTTAGAAATTATGTGATATATATATATATTCAGTTCTGAATTTCTCATGGGGCCAATTTTTTTGCGTCTTTTTATGAAGTCCGACTTCTGTTACAAAATATGACATTTCGGCCTCAGAAGGGGACATGAGATGGGGTTCCTGGAGCTTTATTCTCAATTTTTGACCTAATTCGTGGGTTCCAATTAGAGCCATTAACATCACAGACGACTTTGATCCTACTGAACCGAAATTTTTAAGAATATATAAATATAGGCGAGGCGTCTTTTCATGACATCCTGACACTAACGAATTCATTCATTGAAGTGACTGATGATCTTATGAACCAAACCCCACCATTAATGATCACCTTGTTTCACCCAATGTATAAATATTAAGGCTCTATTTGAGGGTTTAGGAATAAAATAGTAATTAAAAAAAAAAAGAGTCGTCTTTAATTATGTCATTTGCGAGTTTAATGAATAAAGTTTTAAGAGAGAGAACCGTTCTACCATCATTGAAAATTAAATCTTAACCAAATCAACTGTACATATGAACTTGACCCTTGTAACTGGGGGAAAAAAACCTCATCATCAAACGACGTGACTCTGGCGAGATTTTAGTTGAATTTTCAGTTTCGTCAATCTAATCATTTTTCGATACAGCAAATTGCTTATATCTTTAAGAAATATCTCACAATCTACATTATTCATGATCCATGAATGATATGAATTTTCTCAATATTTTATTTGTAAATCGAATCAACCCCATTCATGTATTCATGTAATCATGTAATCAAAGAGAAACATACAAAAAAACAAAAAAAAGACTTGTGTACAAGATTCATCCTCTTATAATGGTATGCCCATTACCCCTCCTTCCTCCACCAATTTCTCAATGTATCATATACAATCATTTCTGTAAATGTAAGGAATGTGGATCTATGTATTGGTCAGGCAATCTGGCATGAAGCCTTGGAGAGACGTGCTTGCTTCCTCTTTATCCCCTTTTTTCCCCCTTCTTGTAATTGTTTCGTTTCTAGCTTCCTTGGGACTCAGAGATTTGATCACATCTCCACAAGTGAAGTTGCAATTATCCATGTGTAAGCTAATCTATGACCTTTTCACCAGTAGAAAAAAGGTTCCACACCACAGTTCCCACTAAGTACAGCCCCACTGAGACCTTGAAAACGTCAGACCACGAACCTGATCATCATAATTCACGAGGTCAACATAAATGTAGCATCAGATTCTTGCCTCAACATTAGACGTAAGTTACTAAAGAGCATGCCTGACACACTTTTATGTTTATTGTTTTAGTCTAAATTATAAGCTTTCATACTCGTCAAAGTTATCCATCACATGTCCCCAATATATATATATATAATATTAGTCAATGGTCCATGTCAAAGCACCAAGGTTAAAAGGATTGGAGCTTCTTTGGGAGCTAGGATAGGGTAAGGAAGAATTACTAACCATGCTGTAGAATGTAGCCTGTGGCTGCCGTTCCAAGAACACCAGCCAATACTCCAGCAGTATTAGATAAGCCAAGCAATATGCCCTGAGAAGAGAATTATAAAATAAATACTAAACTTAGCTTCCTCCTTCTAAAATAATATAGTCATGTAATTAACTGATAAGAATATGGTAAATTACAACACTCGAGAAGACAGGTCTGCTGAACTCTTATTCCGTGGATCAAATATATATATATTAAAAAAAAAATTACATACTGCAGAAATATCTAGGCATAATGAATGTACTTACTGAATATCGTGGGGCTATATCTTGATGATTGGAATATAGACCAGACTGAGAGAAAGCATCAGTTCCCTATTTAAAGAGAATACGTAGCAAATTAGTATTGTTCAATCTCAAATTTTGAACAAGCAAACCAACCCAATCTAGTTCGTCTAAGTGCTTCACCTAGTTTAATCATAAACAAAATATTTCAATAAAGAGGGAAAGAAAAGAAAATACTAGTAGCATATAGTTAAACCTTCATAAAAATTCTCAAGACCTTATTGTAATAAAATTTTACTTTGCAACGCAGTCAGATTCGCATGTTCATCATTTTGAACTAGAAACCACAGTGAAATTAATTGATTGATACTTAAATGTGAGATTCTGGCCCAACCAAAAAAAGTACTTAGATGTGAGAAACTCTGATAACAAGAGCTCTTTATCCAGATACAACGGACTCACACTAATACAAAAAGTACTTAAAAAGTGAACAACATTCAGAGGTATTCAAAACCATAACAGGAAATACGTAAATATTAGCAGAAATCGAGGTCCAAACCTGACTGCATGTCATACACAAAACAGCCATTGTAGGAGAATTTATGTGGCTCAACTGAGTTAAAAAGAACGCTGGGCCAAGAAAGCCAACTGTTTGCATTATCTGCAAACGAAATAATAACAATATACTGTCAGGGCCCTGTATAACTTAAATTGCATAGAGCACCAAAGAAAAGAAAGCTAAGTTGCCTTGTGTCCATGGTAAAGAAGTCAAACGAGTTTCTCCCTCACTATTCATAAAACATGTTGAAGTTTGGCCTCAATAATCTTAACAGAGAAAATGTGCAGAAAAAGATGAAGTAAAGGTTGATGACAGATATGTTTCTTTTTAATATTAAAATGCGGGAAAAAATTCATATGATAAACCCCTCAAACGTGAACTAATATACCCATCGATCATATTGTACGTGGAAAAAAATTCAAAGAGGACTTTATATGAAATAACAGCTCAAACGTGGATTGATGTTTCCTAAACACAGCATAATAAGACAAGAAGAATTACCTTCTTGTTTTTTTGGCTCAAAACGAAAAATATTAAAATAATGAAGAGTATTATTCTCTAAAAACTTACCCCAAAAAAAAAAAATTATACAACAGTTTTCAAATGGGTCAAAGACAGATATAGAGATTTATTTTCTGTTTTGAAAAGTTAAGTTTTTGAATTCGCAATAATAGGTCCCAAACTCTTCAGGCACAAGGAAACAGGACAGGATACCTTGCGAACCCTTGTAACTGATACACCCCTGCTTACAAGAGTGTCTGCAATCCAACCACCAAAATTTGCAGAAAGAGCCATTGTAAACCATGGTAAAACACAGAATAGGCCAGATTCTGTGAGATTGAACTTCAGGACCTGTAATTACAAAGGTAAATGACCCTTCTGTTAATATAAATTTGACATTAACTTCCAACTTGCCATGGCCATTCAACATCAAGATACAATAATGCATAAAATTAACGCTTGGCAAGACTGAAATGAAGAATGCTTGACCGATAGAAAGACATACTTGGTTATAATATGTTGGCATCCAAGTCAGAAGGATAAATGTTCCCCAGTTGTGACAAAAATGAGACACTATCAAAGCCCAAACAGGCGCTTTAGACAAAATCAAGCCCCAAGGTATATTTTTCACAGGTTCCTTGGAAGAGCTGCTTGTCGTAATCAATTTCTTTTCTTCATCCCGCAATTCAGGATCATCAAGAGGTGAACTGTGTGCCTACAACATCAGCTCCCAGAAGAACAGAAGAGATAAGCACATGAGCAAGCGGAAAAAATTGCTACTAGGATCTGGCGAACTTCTTATAAACTTAAAAAAGATTTTGTAAATGGATAAAGAACCAATTTAGAGACTGAAAGTATTCCTTAAAAAACACGTCTGGGTATTTCAAATCCAGAAAGGAAGAGACGCTGAAAAAAATAAATAATTTAGGGCGTGCTAAGCTAATCTTACCTTACTAAGCCAAACAGAAAACCAGATAGTCCCTAACGAACCAAAGGAGTAAAATACAGATGGCCATCCAAACTGATGAATTAGAAATGGCGAACAGGCCAGTCCAGTGACTGATCCAAGGTACATGCCACTGTAGACCAGTGATAATGACCTACTTCTCTCTGCTACAGGAACCCATTTTGATAGAATATTATTCATGGCTGGCATTGCTACACCCTGAAACAACAAACAGGCCAAATGAAGAGCACTCCATTTGCATATATCAAAATCACTGCTAGAACTGGGGACAACATAAAATACAGTAAACCCCCCAAAAAAAAAATCCTTTTTATTGATTTCATGAATTACTTTGGAGAACTTTGCATCTGGAAGCCTTTCTTACAAGTAGAATGCAAACAAATAAAATGTTAACAGTCTGACTAACAAAACTCACCTCACCAACTCCCATGAATGCCCGAACAACTAGTAGGAAGGGCAATCCAAGTTTTGCTGCAACAGGAGTGAGGGCAGTGGCAATAGACCACCAAACAACGCCAAATCCCAAAACCTGCTTTCCCCCAACCGTGTCTGCCCATATTCCACCGGCAATCTGCAGCCGGTGTCTAAGATTCAGAATCATGAACTTTAAGTCCACGTTCGTATATGCCCAGGACTAATCAAACTTATGCTTATCAATATCAACTTTTACCTGAGTGAGCAAGTATCCCCAGAAAAAGGAAGACTGTATTAGACCAACGGTGGTGGGGTTCCAGTTATACTCTGCTGACATAGGAAGTATGGCAATGCTCATATTTACCTGTCAATGTGAATCAGATGTCGATATTAAGAGTTCGGGCTACTTGAGAAATTGAGGACTTCTAATGGCATGCAACGTAAGGCAATATATTATTCTATGGCAATACTGGATTAGCTAAGAATTTTCCTTTTTATAAATAAGAAAATCAAGTGACACATGAGACCATTGTATATACCAGCGATTGAAATCAAGCTTTTTAAACGCACGCGTTCAGTTTAGCTGTCAATGCTATGAGTATTATTTATAATTATGCTTCCATAGCTTTAAACAAGTTTATCTCCTTTATTTTGCCTACTTTAGCAACTAACAACGACTAGTAATGCTCCTGTAGCTTCTCGTAATAAAATTGCGAGCTGCATTTATTTTATACATACCGATAGCTGCGGCACTTCTTAATTGCAAAAACAATAAAGAAACAAATCATTCAACACCATCAAACACACAGAAAAAAAAAGGTTAGAAAATCTTACTCTATCCATATTACAGAGAAGAAACGCGGAAAAGCAGAGAAGCACAATGACCCATCTCTTGGGAAACTCCTCCCACCATGGGCCCACATTATCCAATTCCTCCTTCTCAACGACGACGTCGCTCCTAACATCGCCAAACTTCACCGAGTCAGGTACGTTGATGCCTTCCCAGACTTTCCCAGCTTCCCTCTCGCCAGAACTTCGCGCGGAAACATGAAAGTGCGGTCGGGGCGACGGTGAGCGCAGCCAAAACAAAGAGGTATGGGCAGTTAAGTGCTTAACATCAATAGATTTTCTGGAAACGGAGATAGATGAAGAAGGAGCTTTTGGAGTGGAAGGGAAAGAGGAAAGCAGAGCTCGGGCACTCAACCCCATGGGGTTGTGAGAATCACTGAACTGTTCACCAGTTCTCGGGGAAAATGGCTTTAACGGACACGAAGAAGATTTTAGAGAATGGAAGGGATATTTATCAACACTGGCTTTGGTTATGACACGTGGAGGTTGTCTTCCGGATCCTAGTCCCGTGTAACGGTGTAAGGCACTAATTGCAAATTTTTTTCCTAAAAAAAATTGACCTGAAAAAAAAAATGATATTATTGAGGAAGAATTACCAAGAGGTCTCAAAAATATAATTACCAAAAATTTCTAATAATAAATTATCAGTATGGGTCTGTTACATTTTTTACTCTAAAACTTATCATTATTTACTTTTCACTTATAAGTAGACTTTAAAGTAATTAAACCCCTTCATTGAGATTTGTTTGTAATTCTTTCTATCGTTAACAATATATTTGTAATTTGATTTTCAGATGTGTAAAAGGATGTATTTTCTAAAATTTTAAAATTTTGGGAAAATTTATAAAAGATATTTTGAGATATTTCTCCTTAAATTTTTAATGTTTATAGGTTAAAATGTTACTCCTCCGGTCCTTAATATAGGACCCATTTAACTAATTTGATTAGATTAAGGAAGTTAGGTAAGTTAGTTAATTATAAGAAATATGACACGTTTTTCCTAAAATACCATAATCATCTTTCTTAATACCCCATCTCCCTCTTCTATTTGATTATGGTTGAAGGAGTATTCATAGGGATAATTCAGAGAAAATTGATAAATATGATAAATGGGTCTTATATTTAGGACCAAAACCAACTCACCAATTGGGTCCTATATTAAGGACCGGAGGAGTAATTTAAAATATCTATTATCAAAATTAATTAAGTAATAATTTCTTCATCTAATATTCCTAATAAATTATAAAACATTTTTGCTAACTAAACAAATTCTTCTTGATAATAATTTTTATTCAGGACAATTTTGACGTTTCATAAAAAATAATTAATTAAACTTACACAAGGTAGGACGTTAGTAAGGATTAACAAATATAAGCGGCGGGGGAGAGTGTATAGAAATCATTCCGCAAACTCACAAACTCTGGGGATGTATGGATTTTGACCCAAGAAAAAGAACGTGTGACATGATAAATTAACATGATTCTTTTTGTTAATTTATGTGTTTGAAGATGAACTCCTATCCAACATATCACTATGATTAGGGAGAATTTGAAAACTTATAAAAGCGTTTGAAAAAAAAGATTTTACATAGTTCAAGATTAAGAGCTTGTTTGGTTTCTGTTTTGAAAATAATTTTTTGTTTTTAACAAAAAAAACTTTGTTTAGTAATTTGCTTTTAGTTGATTGCTTAAAAAATAATAATAACATGTTTTTAAAAACTAAAAAAACCAAAACAATTTTTACATTTTTTTTGTTCTTGTGGTTTTTATTTTTTGTTTTGAAAAATTAGAAGAAGAAAAAAGCTTCTTCTTTTTTTACATACTAACTGCTACTTATCACTGTTAGTGACAACTATCACCTATCCAAGTGTGATTTTTTATATATTTTTTTCAAATGTATTTTTCAAAAATTATTCTCCAAACAAAGTTTTTTTCCCTTCCAAAACTTGTTTTAAAAGACAACTTTATAAAATTATTTTGAGAACAAGAAAATAAAGAGAGAGAAAATGTCCTAAGAGGGTGTTTAGTTCCTTGTTTTGAAAACAATTCTTTATTTTTAAAAACAAAAAAAACTTGTTTAGTTATTTGTTTTTAGTTGATTATTTTAAAAAAAAAAACAATGACATGCTTTTAAAAGCTAAAAAACAAAAACAACTTTTATATTTTTTTGTTTTTGTTTTTGTGTTTTTTATTTTTTTGTTTAAAATCTTCTTACCTATTATTCACCACTTGTTATTATCAATGACAACTATCACCTCATAAGTGTATTTTTTTATGATTTTTCTTGCACACATGCTTTTTTAAATTATTATCCAAACAAAGTTTTTTTTCCCCAAAACTTGCTCTAAAAAATAATTTTATAAGATTGTTTTGAAAGAAAAAAACAAAGAACAAAAATAATCTGATCCTAAATTTCTCCCACATACTTGTCTATAAAATCACTTTTAAAAACTAATCTATCACTTTTAAAAACTAATCTAAACACCATTTAGGAGAGAGATCCAGAATTACAAATCTAGTAAACTAAAGTGGAGCGCCAAAGCAATGAAGAATGAACGAATTGATTCCAACCATTCATCTATTTTCCAACAGAAGTGATGCAGCAACCATTTTTAAAAGTATATTAGCATTTGGTAGTAGTGAAATTCATGGTGCTTTCTCCAACTCATGAAATTTGAAAATAAAGTGTTTTTTTAATTTTCTGAGTACACGCGGAATCGAGAAAACTAATTTTTTTAAGTTTTCTGGATGAATAAAAAGTCTATTCAATAAAAATAAGGACATTTAGTTTAATTTCTGGATGAATATATTGGAAGAACAAAAACGTCAATTCACTTCAAATGTAATTCTAAAATTTTTCTCCAGAGGAATGAAATCTCTGTTTTCCAAAACATCTCCTTATGTTGTCTCTTTAAAAATGAAAAGAAAAACAAATCTTTTTACGTTCAATCCATTTCGTTTTATATCTCCAATATAAAATACTTGTTGAGGTCATCTGATTTTCGGGTTGACTTTAAGTAACAATCATATTTTCTGTAGACTTTTCGGTAAACCACGTCAAATAAGTAGTAAAAAATAATAATATAATAATACTAACGTCAACTCGCAATGAATTAGTATTAGAGTGGTATTTAAATAGAAATCAAATTATAATTTTAAAAGTAATGTTACGGTATGTGAAGTAATTATGTAGATGAATTTATTTTAATTTATTAACTCAATAAAATATACAACCTCCATATTTAATATAAAAACTAGTTAACTAATTTAAAAAAATTAAAAAAATAGTTAAATTAGTTATTTATAATACATAAGTTATTATTTTTTCTAAAATATCTTTACCAATAAATATATTAATTAGAATTATACTTATTATAAGAACTATTTTAGAAAAATAAATATGAGGAATAAAGTAGTAATTTCCGCATGCCAGCCTCTTTTTAATATATATATATTTGCCGCTGAGCTCCATGTTCCTTCGTTCGCAAAATCCGTCATCACGTTCTTCCTCACTTCTTGCTCCTAAGTCACAGCTTCTTGCTATTCAAGTCACAGGCTCCCAGCTGCTTCTGTTCTCTTTGACTTTGCGACCCTCGGAATTCGTTCCTTTCTCAATATTCTATTCCTTTTGGCGGTTCTCTTCCACCTGAAATCTCGCCTTCTGAAGATGACGAAGGCCAGGTTTCATGAATTCTCCAGATCATTAATTGCTCGCTTTATGGGTTTCCCCCTACCATATCAATCCCTTCTAATCCAAGCTCGTTTGCCTTCACTTTTCCGTTGCGTGCTACTCTGAAAGCACAATCTCGCCTCCGTTTTAGCATGATCTTTTGCAATTCGGTTGGTAAGATTCTTCAACCGCCAAGATATTTTGAGTTCCCTTCAATTTATCTTCATAAGGCTATCGGAAAGGAAATTCAGTGGCGTTTTCTATTGGTGGATGAACATACTGCCGATACTGTGCCCGAAATAGATATCTGGTGCATTTATCCTGAGATTCGCACGGGTCCAGTCGGTATGAGCTGCAGTTTATTACTCCTATTATGTCTTTAATCATAGTTTCTTGTCGGTTTGGACGTTATACTAACATTGATCTTCTGGGGTATGTTTTTCTTCTGAATTATCGTCTTTCCATCATTGCTTTTGTCCAAGTGGGCTGACGGTTGGAAAGGCATGCAGTGATTGCATGCCGTATCACGTGGTTCCAGCAGGCGATAATTTTTTTTTTATATAAGCGTTTCCTAGGAGAAGTTATGAAATGTACTTTGCTTAAGAAACGTTTCCCAACTCTGTAGTCTTGAAATTTAATGACCGCCCTCAAAATTTGCAATAGCTTTTGGTTATGTGTTAGGTTGTTAGCTTTAAATTTTCATTTGCTCATTTAAGAACTTTTTGAGGTTTGGCATAAGGAACCATACTTGTAAGTCATTAGCGTTTAAACATATTGCCCTAGTAGTGGAACATATTTGCTGCAGTCTTTTGTTTATTCACAGCAAATAGGGCCATGAAATCCTCGTAAATTAATCATCTTGTTCATCTTTTTGCTATGGCCTTCATATGCCTGTGGCTTCAACTTTTGATCAAACAGTAAAAGGATGGTGTTATTCTCATCTAATGTCGTCATTTGGGCGCTGGCCATTTTTGCTGACTTTGATCAATTTCGATCTAATATTTTCCTACTTGCAGATCACCGATATGTCGACTGATTATAAAATAGATGTTGGTAGTCGTGGCTTCAAAGAAGGACCAGAACTAAGCATCTTACCTTCAAAACTGTTACTAGATGAAGAGGTTAATGCAGCGCGTGAAAATCTTATTGGAATTCAAGAAAAGATTTCAATCAACGACTATTCAACAAATGCGGAGCGTAGAGCCGTGAGTGACAGGTGCGAAGTAAATCTTCTTTTCTGTATCTGTTTATTATTAAATGATTTTTTTCCTTTGAACACCAAAGTTATTTATCTTTGTGTATTTCCCTTTCTCTGCTTTCATTCATGCAGCAACTTTTAGCTTATAATGTCAAAATCCCTTTGCAAAGATTGGTAATTAAGTAACAAGTGAAACACATTCATCATTTCAAGCAGGTTTCTGAAAGCAGATAAAGCTGCACTTGGTTACAATGTCAGCCATGTTGGAGAGGAGGAAAGGCGACTACATAGACCAGTGAAGAAGTCTGGGCCTCTTCTCTCTGGAACAGCTTACTGTATTTCTTCTTGCAGCATGATAATGCTGAACAAAATTGTTTTGTCAGGTTATAATTTCAATGCAGGAATATCTTTAATGTTTTACCAGGTGAGTTGGATTCTCCAGACAATGCTGAATAGATTCTCACTGTGATAATACTGAAACTTGAAGCTTGGAAAGATGTATTAATGATATCGACATTCCTATTATTAGAAATTTCACCGCATCACATGCACTTAACAATCATATTACGAATATGTATTTTTACTTATTTTTGTTTAGATTGATAGGTTATTCTGCTAATTGCTTCATTGGTCTATTTTCTTTCTTGAAGCTTATGATAAATGCAAACTTAATCATTATGCCTATTTGCAGAACTTAATAAGCACGTTGGTTGTTGTTCTACTGGGTTTATCTGGCACAGTTTCAGTTGAAAAGCTCAACTGGAAGCTGGTCAGGGTCTGGATTCCTGTTAATGTGATATTTATTGGCATGCTCGTATCAGGAATGTATAGGTATGAATAAATTGGTTTTTATAGTTTCTTGTATGCTTCTTTTAGACCTATAGATGTGGAAGTTGATTAATAAGACAACATTAAAAATTCAGAGGACCAATAGTATGATTATTGTCTGCTACTCGGCGTAGTTACCTTGTCCGTCTCCTATCTACCCCTTGACGTCTTCAAGTGCTTTGTTATTTTCAGTTTGAAAAACATCAATATTGCAATGGTGACAATTCTCAAGAATGTGACAAATATTATAACTGCAATTGGAGAGTTATATTTGTTCCGGAAAGGTCAAAATCCAAAAGTGTGGACTGCCATGTTTCTGATGGTAAATGATACTCTCAGCTTCCTACTCGTTGATGGATTGCTATTTCTGATAAATAAGAATATTATTGCTGGCCAGGATCATGTATTAGGAAATTATTAGTTACTCTTTTTTAATGTACATCTCAGATGATCACATGCCTACATCATCTTTGTCATGGAAGTTTTTAGGTGCTTGTTTTGGCAAAACTTTCCAGTTGTTCATATCAAATTATTTTATGGAATTTATATACTCAAAGATTAAAGTTTACATATTACCTTTTTTCAAAACTTGCACAAGTATTTGAAGATACTACTTATCTGCTTATCAGAACATATAACTTTAGTTTGATTCTAAAGCTGTGTCTTTTGTTACTCTTTTATCAACTACTAGTATATTGTATTTGTTCTGAAAAATCCAATTGACTTTCTGGAGTCTCACTGACCTGTATCATACTTGGCGCAGATTATCTCTGCTGTCAGTGGCGGTATTACAGACTTATCCTTTGATGGAGTTGGTTATTCCTGGCAGATTATCAATTGTATTCTTACCGCAAGTTACTCTGTATGATTTTTGAGTTTAGATGCCCCTTCCTATATTGTTTATATTTTTGCCACACTTTGTGTATCCAAATTTGAGCCTGAACATCCTTTTCTTTTTTCGACAGCTTACCCTTAGATGGGTTATGGATGAGGCAAAAAAGTCAACTAAATCAGGATCCCTCAATGAAGTTTCTATGGTGTTGCTGAACAATTTACTGTCTTTACCTTTTGCCATATTCTTGATTTTCCTTTTCGGCGAGTGGGATTATGTAATACATGTGTGAGTAAATACTTTTTCTGCGATTTTCAATTTGAGAAGCCCCCTGCTTCCTCACTGTACTTCTGGTTTTGATTTCCAGGGATGTAGTTAAACTGCCAATGTTTTGGGTTGTTGCAACGGCTAGTGGACTGCTTGGACTTTCCATCAGCTTTACTTCTATGTGGTTCTTACATCAAACTGGTCCAACAACATATAGGTAATATAATTATGTTCGTGTGTTTTGAGGTGCATGGGTCTCTGCCTCAAGAGAGCTCGGAATGCTTTCTTTTCCCATCCTTTGATGTGTTACTAATATTTGTTTCCCATTTCACAGCTTGGTGGGTTCCTTAAACAAGATTCCGATCTCCATTGCCGGCATTTTAGTTTTCAAAGTCCCCCTCAGCATATCGAATTTATTCAGCATTTTGTTTGGTAATCAACAGAACAACTAGTAATATCATGAATCTTTTGCTTGTTTCTATCTTCTTCTTCCTCACATTGATAATGCACTCTTGTTTCCAGGTCTCTTTGCCGGGGTATTTTTTGCGAGGGCTAAAATGTCCCGATGATTAATACATTCATATTGTTGTATAGTTCTGGTTCCAGCTCTCAAGTTCCTGTTGATCGTTAATGGAGGGTATTTTGTTTCAGACGAAGTCTGAAGATACCCTAATTCTTACTATTATTATTTTTTTCTTTTTGAAAATAAAGTGCAAGAGAAATTATCTTCCTGGTATTTCAAGCTTTTCCTGGCTCGGAGTAAAAAGGAAAGGCTGTTCTTGAGGGAGAATATTAACCGGTGGGGTTGGGTTCCGGCAACTGCTGGTCGCCGGCAACAACGGGAGAGGGATTTTTTTAATTTATTTTTAATTACGAGCATTTTGATAAATGCACACCCATATTTATTTACAATTAAGTCCTATAGGACTCCGCAATAATCTGATCATTTGAAGAGACTTTATGGTAATGTTTGTGTGGGACCTTGGAATAATTTGATCATGGGCTTCACATGATCTTCAATTCATAAAATAACGTTCGTCGATCAACCATCAGAAGCCAGCGTCTTCAAACAAAATGATTTCAGTGAATGGCAGTATACTAAAGCAATTTATTGCAAATGAAAAATCGTTCTTTCTTAAAAATGATAATATTGTGATTTAGGTTTCCCAACATGCACATAATAATTGAACCTTTTTTTAAAAAAAAAGTCAATATAACTTTTATGAGATACTCCTCCGATCCTTAATATATGACCTAATTGTTGAATTGGTTTTGATCATAAATATAAGACCCATTTTTTATATTTATCAATTTTCTCTAAATTATCCCTATAGATATTCCCTCAATCATAATTAAGTAGAAGATGAAGATGTAGTATTAAAAAAGACGATTATGTTATTTTAGGAAAAATGTGTCACATTTCTTATAATTAGCTAACTTACCTAATTTTTTAATCTAATCAAATTAGTTAAATTGGGTCTTATATTAAGGATCAGAGGAGTATATTTTTTACACAAAAATACAACTTTAGCCTATTTTTTTAAAAATACACAATACAACTTTTCCCTTTGATGAAGGAAAGAAACATGGTAAAATTTGCAGTTCTCCATTTCGATTTCTAATGGCTATATAATTGTGTGAAGGTAGATTCATACTATTCATTTTTTCCCGAGTTAAAATTATGAGTTGACGCTATGAAATTTCAGTAATATCAATATATCTTCAGTATACATCAATAATAATTACTACAATTAGCTAGATTATAAATAGCACTCCTCCTGTCCTAAATATAAGACCTATTTTATAATATAACTTACACTACAAAATAAGTCTTATATTATATTATAGTAGAGGAATATGAGTTATATTTGAAATTTCAAGCAATATCCAAGAAAAACACATTTACTTGGGCTTAAATGCTTCTAGCTAGTGACGATGAGATGATGCAATGTGTGTGTCTATATGTATATTTGAAGTTCCAGATCAATCAATCAATCATTTGAAGGGTAATCATCCACAAGATATATATGACGAAATGAATACATTAAGGTGAAAGATCACAATAAGTTCCCAAAGAAATTCACTTGCAGTTTTAGGCACAATAAGAGAGAAAAATAGAGCAATAAACCCAAAGGAGCCTTGTCTTTAAAAACCCTAACACAATCCAGAATATCCATCACAACTCTACCGTGAAACCAGAATAGTTTCGCTCAATTCTAAAAGACCTCCATAAAAGTACTAGGAATTCTCATACTTTGCGAAGCTCATCATTCCGGTACGAAGTGTCTTAGAAGTATCTAAGTAGAAGTAGCTAGAAGCTTCTATTGCTGCTACTAGTTGAAAGCTGAGAGGAAACCAGTTCCATCAAATCCATCTCTCTCTTTGCTTCATACCAAGATTGCTGATCATCCTCTACCTGCAAACCCATGTTGAAATTTTGATCTTTTCCATAATCACAGCAGAAAATGGGTGAATTATAACCAACCCCATTCAATAACTGAGCCAGAAACAGATCAGAATGATGATGGTATTGTTTCACGGGAGCACCAATGGTAGCAGCAACACTCTGCTCAGGAAGATACCCCTCATGCCCAGCATCTGTTCGATAAAAATCCAAAGTGGACTGAACCTGCTGATTCTGATAATTGTCCTGGAAGAACTGTTGCATGAAGAGAAGTTCATCATCAAATGCTTCAGCCATCACAGGTTCATGAGAGGGATCTTGATGATCAGAAACCACAAGCTTGAATTGGTTTTCATCAGTTGGGCCCTGAAGGTGGTCGTCATTGCCAATAATGGTGGGGTTATTATTATTGGAGAGGGTCTTGCTTTTGATGTAATCTTGAAGAATGGAAGAAGGAGGCTTTCTTCCATTGTTGTTGGAGGTTTTGTTTGCAGATTTGTGGTTTCTCTTGGAGTTCTGTCTCCTTTTGGTGGCATTCCAATGGTTCTTGATTGCGTTCTCTGTCCTTCCTGGAATTCTCTTCGCTATCTCTGCCCACCTATTCCCTACCTTTGCATGTGTTTCTACCAATATTTTCTCTTCTTCCTCACTCCAACTATCCTTCTGAAACAGTGAAACCAACCAAAATGATGGTTTAATTTAGGGAGTACTTTATATGTTATTTTAATATATTGTAATTATAATTAAAACCCGTTAATACTAGAACTTGTAAAACAACCATATATATTGGTGACAACGGCAATAGGGGGAATATAAGAAAATCTAGAGAAAATTTTCTATTGTCCCCCGACTGTTATTTCTGACATTTTATATTTTTAAATGCTAATAATTTTTTGGGAACCTAAACATTGGAGTATTATTTTTTATAATTCTGCGTTTGTATTTTTCAAACAAAAAATAAACCGTCCAAGTTAAATTTAAATATTATATTTGCTTTTCCCAGAAAATAAAAAAAATTAAGTGGTTTAATTTAAATGAAATTTGACATATTAATTTAGAAAACAGATAAAATATCTCTGGATAAAAATAATTAAAAGATATATTAATTAATGCAAAGAAAAAGAAAAGATATATTAATAATCTATATATTTTAATATAATATAATCGAAACATGAACACGAAGAAAGATGGGGGAAATATATGAATGATTAATGCTTATGGAAATGTCAAGGTGGCCGAGGATTTACGGGTTACCAAGTTAATTACAAGAGAACACAAAGCAATATCTGATTTCTGGATTATGTATGAAAGCAGATCGATCGAGTCAATCAGATATGCCAAAGATAGATCCTTGCTCATAAATATCCATATATACAGATGCTTTCTAATTTAACTAACAAATCATGTACAAAATTCAACGTAATCTGTGTGGCATATTTTTTCTTACTAGTTACCACAAACTCTTCAACGAAACTTGAAGAAACTAGCTCATCAGTCATCACTTGACTGTGATTTGAGACTCAGTGAATGCAGCTGCATGATGGATGCAGATAAATCCAGACATTGAGAATGTTATGAAAGAACTAGTGAAGAAAATAATATTTGAGATGAACTAAAATTGGCCCCAAAGCTTTTAGATAGATAATATATATGTATGTATGTATGTATGTATATGTAGCCCTGGAAAAAGAAAGAAAATGAAACGACAATATATGGGCTGAACCCTAGCCGAGAGCTCATCATTGATAAAAGTCGAAGAGAAGATTAAATAGGGACCTTAATATCAGGACGTAAATGATTATGCCATCTCTCTCTGCATTGCTTCCCAGCTCTTCCCTCCAAATTCTCAGCTATCTGAGCCCATTTCCTCACCCCGTATTCATTCACCAGCTTCACCAGTTTCCTTCATCCCCAACAATATATGCAAAAACATTACCAAAAATAATAATATAACGCATATATATAATATCGATCATCAAACTGATGTATATATATACCTGTCTTCTTCATCAGTCCACTGTCCTTTGATCAACGACGCAGAAGAAGACCCTTTCTTATTGATTCTCTTCCCTGCCACCGTTGTATTACCAGTAGCTTTATTCTTCCCCAGAACTTGCACTTGTTTCTTCAGTACTGTAGGTATCATCATCTGATGGGCTTCATTATTCGCTATAAACCCATCCATTAAACTTGCTTCTATGTCGTCACTGTTAGGCCACAGAGCAGAAAGGTGACTGAGTTGGCCCCACAGGAACCTGTCTATGGCGCTCAGAGGAGGCCCTGATGAAGAAGAAGAAGATCGCCGGTACATGGAAGTGGCGGGAGGATTATCGGTCAGAGGCATCATAATGTGGCTCTGGCCTTCCATGGAAGCCGCTCCAAAGGAAAGCAGAATTAAGGACTTGGTTTTGTCACCGTGATGACTGTTTCAAGCCGTGTAATAAGCCAAATGTGGATCAACAATGGCCGTTCATTTTGGGCTTTATCTAACGGTTGGGATTCAGTGATGGTCTGTAACTCCTGAACTTCCTCTCTCGGACCAAAATTTAGGAGTGGGGAGGAATTAGGGCTTTCGTTATCAACTCATTATTACTGTTATTTACAAATAATCATATTTGTCACATGTAATACATATTTATTATCTATCTATTAAAAGAGAGAGAGAGAGAGAGAGAGAGAGAGAGAGAGAGAGAGAGAGAGAGTTGAATTATATTAAACGGCCGTTTCTTTTGTTTTATATATGATTACTGCGTGAATTGATGAAATTTTCTCGAATAAAAAATAAATAAAACTCTCATCTTGAAAAATAATGCTAGAAGGGACTATTAGCCAAGTTTTTTGTATCGTGTTATATTTATTGAATTAATAAAGAATGAGAATTTTAATTTTAATTTGGTTAGCCACAATTAGAGAATAATTAATGACAATGTCATAAATTTGTTAATTTCCATTTGCAGGACATTAAATAATTGAGTTAATTTCCATTTGCAGGACATTATTATATAATTAAGTACATTAAAGATCGGGTACCCGGAAAAGAAAAAAAAAAAAAAAGGAAGTGAGTTTTCAATATTTTATCAAGCATTCCCGGACGTACATAGGTGAGATCTTTACTGTATTATGTAAATATTTTATTTACATGTAATTTATTTTTTGATTTAGGTTGCTTCTACGTCTTCTTATTAAAATTTTAATTCTGTATGATTTGAATTGAATGACGGAAAAACTGTGCCTGGTCTCTGTTTATTTTTCCTGGGGCCAGGTAATATCCCAAGCTAGGCCCACAAGTTCTAGCGGGTGGGCTTCGTTCTCTCACTTATGGGCCTAACAGCATTTATCTCAACGATGGCGTTGTTCTCCATCGTTTTCCAATTCCAAAGTGATGATTTTTTTTTTTTTTTGGTACATGAGAGAGGCCGAAGCCAAAAGCAAGAATTAAAACATTGGGGATGTATCCCATAGCTTCTTTCTGAACCAGGGCCCTCATACGTTGAGGAGCCAGTCAAGCAGAGAAGTAGTTGTAAAACCCCTCTTTGCCATGCTATCCGCAATCCTATTGCATCTCTGTGGACAAAATTGACTTGCACTGCCTGCCACGTTCTGATAAGTATCGTTTAATGTCCAATAAGGTATTGCTCCAAGTAGCATTAGAGCTTTGCTTTTCCAGTAGGGTATCAGTAAGAGTTTTGCTATCAGATTCTACGATAATGTCCTAAATCCCATCTCCCAAGCTAAGTAGAGACCTTAAGCATTGCCCATCTTCTGCTTCATAGGCACTACAATTCCCAAGATAATTCGAGAACCCAGCAATCCAATTACCTTGATAGTCTCTAAAAACACCCCCACAAGCAGCTGCCTTAGCGGTTCAGATTAGCTCCATCCACGTTTAATTTAACAATGTTAGGAGGAGGTGGAACCCACCGCTTAGGATTAGAGTAGAAGTATAACATCACATTGCAAGTGATCCTTTCTCATACTGAATTGGTTACAGGTTTTTAAAATCACCAGTGCTGGTTCATGAGGTTTCTGAGTCTCCCCTTTAAAGATGAATTCATTTCGCCAATGCCAAAGTTTCCAAGTTGCAACCTCCAAATAAGGCTCCATTCAGTGCTGCTATCAGTAGCAAATTCTGCTTCAGATTCATAGAGACCCATTCAACAAGTGAGGCCGAAAAGAACTGTTTAACCGTAGAAGGGGCTAAGATACTCAAACCATAACTTTCTTGCGTATTCACAGTCCCTTAAAATATGCAGAACATCTTCTATATCATTCTGGCACCAGTCACAAAGAGGAGAAGCATGAGACCATTGCTTCTCCACAGGTTTGTAGGTAGCCTATTTTGGAATATTTGCCAAATAAAAAAACCTTATTCTCTCAGCACCATTCCATTCCATATAAGCTTGAAACAGAATGTATGGGGAACTCTCATAAGCTCTTCTATTAAGTTATGGCACTTTTAATAGAAAATTGACCATTATTATTTCCATTCCACATCATAACATCACTACCGCGCTGGACACTTGGAGGAATAATAGGTAGAAGCATATTATTACCTCTTGTGGTATTAGTCCAGCTAGCCGAGAGAGATCCCAGGTCCCGTGTGTAACCCCAATCTGCCACAGTCGAGCTTTCCTCCTCACTGTGAGGGGTCTTAGGACAAAATTCTCTAATAATTGTATCACTTGATATCCAGCGATCATTGAAAAAGCTCACATTCAAGCCATCCCTTACCCTCCATCTTGTTCCAGCATCTATAATAT